GAGAAACCCGTCTCGAAAAACCTAAAAACCAAACAAAGCAAAGACCTCTTCTGGAGGTCTCTTAGGGTGTGACTCAATGGGAAGGTATGTGATTAGCATGCGCAAGGCCTCAAGGTCAATGTCGGCTACAGCTAACAGATGAACAGAACTGGAATATCACTATTTTGCAATGCCAAAATATTTATGCCCTAAGCATCAACAGCTCCTACCATCCCAGAAAGGTAACAAACATGCATTGCCTGTTTATGGAACCCAGCCCTTCACCTTCTCACACACACAGTGACATGTTCAAGCCAAAACCAAATAACTGATCAAGCATACAGAGCGGTGCTGTCCCATGCAGCTTTCTATGATGGGAAATCTCTACCCAGAACTGGCCAATTCAGCAGCACTAAGGACTTTCTCTTTTAATCCTATGTGACTTAAGCTACATTTAACAAGGACTGTCCTGCTGGATGGTGCACCCTTATCCCTAAAATCCATTTGAAGTTAACGGAGACTGAGAAATGCCCAAGGTGACTAATTGAGCAAAATCCAGACTGCTGGGACCTCTACAAAGCAAAAGACCCCTTGCTCCAACAATTAACTTGCAAGTACATAAAAATGGGGAGGAAAAGGCATGTAAATTAAAAGCAACTAAAGGCCATGCCAAATGTCAATCACAGCGTGTGGACATTACACGGACCTGATTAAACAAACGGGAGGAGGCGAGTAGGCATTTACAAGCCATTTAACAATGTGAACACATAATTCAAGTGGGTGTGATTGGGGCACATTTGGAAGCACTTATAATTGAAATACAGTCAGCCATTGCTTAATGATGGACCCATTCCGAGAAAAGCCTGCTTAGGCAATTTTGCCATGGCATGGACATTACAGAGTGTATTTACACAAGCTGAGCCGGCTAAGATGTCACGCAGCATTATAATCTCACAGGGCCACAGTTCTATGTATGGCCCGTAGTTATGTAGAACATGACTGTAGTATATCTGAAAACTGCTTCAAAGTCTTATATGGGAAGGTGAGTGACAGAAGCCAGTAAGGACGGGCAGGGACGAAGTGACAGAAATTTTTGTCTTTGAAACTCTTAAAGTTGATAGGAAAAAAGGGCACACATTTGACACATACTGTCACCACCTACTAGAGAGCCAAATGAAAGATGGAATACTTTTTCTTTTTTTTTATTGAGACAAGGTCTCACTCTATAGCCCTGGCTGACCTGGAATTGCATATGTAGACCAGGGTGCCTTTGAACCCACAAAGATCTGCCTGCCTCTGCCTCCAATGCTGAGATCAAAGGTGTGTGCCACCAGCCCTGGCTATATTTCTGCGAAACTCACAAGGGAGGGGAAGGCCAAAAGAGAACAGATTAGGATGGGGTGAGAACAGAAATTCGCCTGCTAGTCCCTACTTGCACCAGGGTCCTGCCAGCCACAGTGAGTCAACTCACCAAGTTCACTCTAGACTTTTGCTTGGGGTAAGACTTAGAGACAGAGGGCACCTGTATGCCCAGGGTTTGTCTAGCCCACAGTTAGGGATCTGCAAATGAGGTCCTTGACTGGAACCCCAAAATGGATGCATCTCCCCACCACAACCTGTTTTTTTTTTAAATTACAGAATCCTTAGTCTTAAAGAGATCACGTCACAACCCGCCCCAAAAGCTCGCAATGAAAGGTCAGACAGGCAGGGATGAGCTCCACCTTCCCAGCCTGGTTCCAAGCCTTCTGCCTAGACCGCTCAGCACAGCCAACACTACCAGGTGCCCGGTGCACAGTACCGCAATAATAAAAACTTCACCTTGGGGCTGTCAGATGACTTCCTGTGGGGCAGTCAGTGAGGGCACAAGAGTGCTAAGGGTTTCCCACTCCGCTTATTCATTTAACTCACACAGTGGCTTTGAGGAGTAAGATGTTCCCAGTCTTCCCTCCTCAGAAGCCTTCAAAAGCTGCTCCTCTGCCCGCATAGGAACCCTCTTCTTGGCTTGACCCTTCGACTGCTCTCGTCTTTTCCTAGGCTTCACTTCCAGCTCCATGCTGCCAACTTGTCCCTGATCCTAACTGGCACATTTCCTGTCCTTTGCTCCCCAGAACATTGATTCCTTACTCAAGCACAGGGCTCAGCCCGCATCACCCTAAAATCAATCCCCCCTCATTTCCACAGCCCTCGAATCCATATCAGAAACCCTTCCCAGCTCAGCAACGACATCTTTGCTGGCGTTTCCTGTTTGGTCCTCATTCTCCTCTACAGAGGTGCTGCAGGTGTCTCCCCATCCATGGTGAGCGAGCGAGCATACACTGCATTGCACCCTTTGCTCATTAGGCAGAGAGCATGAATATCTTCATTTTACAGGTAAGGAAACCGGAGCCCAGAACAATGAAAAATCCCAACCTTGCACAGTTCTGCAGAACTTATAAATGCAGTCCATATACACATAACCACTACTGCTAGCGTGTTCTGGAAGGTACACGCTGGAATACGAGTGTTTTATCTCTTGGCTGTCTTGCACACAGCAGACATAACGTATGCTGCTGGATGTTTTATTGTGGTTTTCTTTTTCCTCTCTGGGTAGGGCACAGGCTCAAACCTGCCCTTTCTTTGGTCCTACAAGCCCACTGCCCAATGTGTGTCTTCAAGTCATTAAAACTGTACACATGGCTGGGGCTGCAACTTAGTTATACGGTGCTTGTCTAACACGGAAGGTGGGGACGATCATTCTCATTCTTGAATGGCTTTCTTCCTCTTCCAGTCCAAAAAAAAAAATCTTTTTTTGTTGTTTGTTTGTTTGTTTGTTTGAAACAGGTTCGTTCTATGAAGCCCTCTCTGGCTTGGAACTCCACGATATAGACCAGGCTGGCCTGTAACTCAGAGATCCATCTGCCTCTGCCGTCTGAGTGTTGCGACTAAAGGCATGGGCCACCCCACCAGGCTAAGAAACTAATTCTTAGAGGAAATTCTTTGAGTTCTGATCCCGGCGAAGTAGTCACACACTGTGCTAAGAGATGGGCAATTTGATCAGTCATTTGAAAACTGTCCATACCAGGGCAGATATTTCCAGAGGCTTTGGCAATCCTAATACCAAAATGTCTCCAATGCTGGCCTAGAAAGGAAGGGTAGGAACCCAACCGCTTTCAATGAATAAAAACTCCCTAGGAAATAGAAAAGTGAGGGAAGCAGGTTGCCTGTTAACGGTCTGCAAATATGCCCAAGTCCTTCCCCCACCACAGAGGCAATTTATCTTGGAAATGACGGGTTTATTGACTCCCTTAATCCAAAATTCCAACACTTGTGTCTGCCCCAGGCAGAAAAGAGATCTTCCAAAATCTCATGAGACAGGCTTCTCTCTTTACCGAGAGATGGAGGAGGGGCAAGCTAACTAACTACTCTCCTTCCCCAAGCAACCATACAATTGTCTTTCTAGTCTGGAGATAAATATGCAAGTGGGGCACTTTGTAGAATTTCCCAAAACGCAAGAGTTGTCCGCTTCAGGGAAACTTTTCCCTCTCACTTAACCCCGCCTGGCCCCAAAGCCTCCGGACCACTCACCCTAAACCTCGGCGCACTCTGAGAAGTACAGTCCGCCTCCTCCCTCCCCTCCCCCCCCCCAGCTCGCAGCATCCTCAATCCTCAAGTCTTTCCGGCGCTCCGGCCTCAAATCCTAATTCAGAACCAAATGCTTCCCGGCCTACCCTGGGGAGAGAAAAGGCTGCTTTCTTTATGCCCAGCCTAACCCTTGGGCTCACCCTTCCCTCCCTGCATCGGCCTGGGAACTTGGATAGCCGATACTCTGAAGCACCCTAGAATTATAGCTCACTGTGTACAAGGTGGCACTATAGCCGGCCAGGCTAGGACCTGGGGTTTATGCAAAAATCACGCCGCCTCCCCTCCCCCTCTAGCTGGCCGTGAGTCAGCGGGACAGGATTCCTTAATCCTGGGGGTAGCGGATACCTTTGAACAGGTGGTCATGGAAGTTCCACCCAACAAAGCGCTGATGGCCATCCAGATAAGATGTTGCCTTCTATAGCTTTTGAGGGGCACATTCCAACCCACTAGGGTAGGAACGTTAAAAAAAAAAAATCTGCAGGTGAACCCTTTCATCTTTTACCCACTAATTTAATTCTTGAAGATTTGAGAGAAAAGGCAAATCTACAGTGCCCTGCACAACCAGCTTCCCGTCTAACAGGCTCCACCACCAGGGCACTGGGAATAGCGGTGACTGCGAGGCTGTGTCCCAAAAAACAAGGAGGGAAACAAAACTCTCAGGACCTCGAGGTGCCAAGGACTGCGTCCCAGAGGGCATCACGTCTAAGATATCGGGTCGCGCTCCTTCTCCACCCGACATCTTGGGTCACCTAGTTAATAGTCTGGCCTTGGAGACAAGGTGGGCATCTGAATCCGCGTAGCTGGGCCACTGCCAGTGTCAGACAGGGCCACCACCCTGGGGGCTGGATCCGCTTAAGATGCTGGCAGCCCGGGCACTGTGGCACAGAGGACAGGTCGCGCGGAGCCTGGCTGCCGCCCAGGGGCAGGTGCAGGAGTGACGG